GGGTGGGTGGGAACGCGGTCGAAGACGCGTCTGCTGTGGTTCCCGCACTGGAGGGGAGCAAGCACTGGTGCGCCAGTGCTACCAGTCGCGAGAGGCGAAAGGTTGAACGTTGCACGCGGAGTTTTATCACTACAGAACGTTGGACATATTATTGCTTGATTACGAAAGAATGTGGGTTCGAATCATAGGTCATGTAGACCTATGATTGGGTATGGCTGATTGCTGACGCCTGATAAGCCAGAAATGGTCATCTCGGTTTCCTGTGTCTTTGTTGGAACTTCCACTTCAGGGACGACATTCCCTGGTCTGAATGACATTACTGCTAGGGACTATGGATCAGTAAATGCACTTTCAACATTGTTAATACGTTTGATCGAAGCCGACAGAAGGAGTCCGTTGCCCGGTTGTTAGAGTGTTTTATTTACTAACACTCGATGAACAAGGAAAGCTGATTCAAATCTCCGATCCTGCAGTCTTGCCGTTGGGTATGGTCGACTGACGACGGCCAATAAGCCCGAAAGGGCCACATCAGTCGCCCTCTCTTTGTCGGTAAGGTGTTTCTACTGTTGCTTTTACTGGCGCGATCGAGAGACCTTGGCCGCACTAATAAATGTGAGTTCTTCCGCCACATTCTAGTCATTTTTGAAGGAGAGTTTGAATGACAGCTTCACATCTGTATCATTTTACCCGTCCAGGACATTGCAGTACTATGTCGTTCGGTTTTCCAGGGTGGTTAATCATGTTTTATATATTTACTGAAAGAGGATTTTGCCTGGCCAGCTGTCTTTATGAGAAGAATACCATTTTAGGGTTCAGAACCGATACACCTTTCTACCTACGAACAGATCAGTATGCGCACTGTTGTAGCCGCATACTAAGTTTTCCAGTTACGACGCTGTGTCTAGCTGCCACATATGGCCAGGGTCATTGTTTGGCGCCAACGTCAGTCCAGTTTGATTAGACTATAAACGTTTAGATAACTAACCGGATCGAATGTCTGACGCCCTTATCGTTGAGCCGCGGGCTGTGGGTTGCAATAAAATATATAAACAGTTGTAGTGGATCGCTTATCGATGGCGTTACGGAGCACAGTTGTCCCGTAATGCCTTGGGTCTCAATCGCTGGTATTGTCTGTCTCTCGTTTTTTTCTCTTTGCTGCGGACATTCAGCTGATATATCGCACCTCGGTCTCCCCTAGCTGACGAGGCAATCTCGAAATTTTTCTTAGTAAGTCACAAGCTTGAGAAAAGTTTCGGGCTTACGTAGACCATATGAAACAGGGCTTTTGCCGAATGTTTGCTTTAGTGGAGGCTCGTTAGCTCTACATCAGACGCTCTTCATATCACAATAGCTGGATTTTTTAGCAAAACCAATTGGATCGCACATTTTGTCTGCGTCGATAATGCAGCCCCACGTTCAGCCTATTTCACGTAGCGCAGGTTCAAACTTTACCGAAACAGTGGTATTTTAGTGTGCGCGTATTCTCTGTCATTGACCGCCCACTTTCTGCTATCTAGGTATTTTATAGAAGCAAAGCCTACACAGGACTAAATATCCATCTTATCTTAAAGACCCAGTATTTAGTTGTCTCATAAGTTTAACGTGTTCCGATCCATCCTGATTTCATATCAGGAATTAGCATTCCCGCTGTGCCTTGAAGCTGAGGCTCTAGAGCCTACGCAGACAACTAGGTGGCGATCAACAACCAACGGTTAATAAATTTCAACGGCAAAAACGGGGACTTGGAAACAATGCTTTCTGAGGTGTCTGTCGTTACCAACCGTAAAGGTTTATTTTGACGTTTTAGGGAAAATTCTCAGTTATTGGTCTGCTTCGCTGTGGCCTGCCCGTCCCCCGCCCCTTGTGGGAATGTTGGCTCCTCACAAGAGGAAGGCGCCGCTGATTTAGCGCTCTTTTGACCTCATCCATGTCCCATCCATCCAGAAAAAATGGACTTTTTCTTGAGCTGTTGAGCAGCCGCAGCGTTGTAGCATCATAGTGGGCGGCTTGGCTCGAGAGGACGCAACATCACAGGGTTGTGGCCTTCACCGACATTTTATTTACCTATGCTGGTTGCCCGTCCAGAACGTGGTTGTGCCTTATGATGCTTGTCAGTTATGCACTTGATGTTTTTAAGCTCCCCTTTAAACTGTTACTAACTCGATGCCTGTTTTTTCCCCGCTTCAGTCGCAGGCTCCCAACTGTGTCCCCTGCTAACGGAGGCGGCTACCGCTCAGCAGACAGTCTGGCTCGGTTGCCAAAACGGCGATCTCTTCCTGCACTGCAGCATGACCAGTCGCTACCGCTGTCTTCAGACCACTCGAATGCCCAGCGGCGTTACCGCCATCTGGTAAGTTACCTCCCCCGTCCATCCCCCCAGTAGTCACAATGTTATGAACATTTCTAATGTATTGATGGTTGCACGTTCAACAACTCGCCTCTATCGAATGCCCAATTCAGAACTCAGCAGCAAGGGTGCAAGAAAAGAAGTATATTGACGTATCCTAATGGCGTATTTATGGCCATACAGGAATCTCCAAGGCCGAAAGGAAGCCGGACCAATCAGGTAATGC